ACGAGCTGCTCGGATCATCAAAGCAGAATCAATTGCAGGGAGATTAGTAAGCCCGGAGTTCTCACACACCTCTTTTCTCCCTTTTTTCCTGATGAAGAATAGATCAGATTTTAATGATGTTTGTAATGAAACACAAATCCCAGACTAATTACATTAAAGACCTGTGATCTCCTGTTCCGTGCCTTAGTGAACATGTCATGATATGGTAGAGATTACAACGGCCTGCAATTTAATACCCCGCCGTGGAGTAGCAGCATCTGTAGCTATCAGCTGACTGCTGCTCTGCATATCTGTACGGACCCGTGTAGTGTTTATCTGGGCCATGCCTCGCTGCCTGGTGGGTGTGTCTTGATAGCGATCGCAGAGAGGTTGGAAAACAGAAGCAGTGGTTTTTGCAGTGACTGATACAACATAAAATTATTACTGTATAAAAACTAAAGGAAAATGAAAACTTAAAAAGGTACCATGCACATCAATATAGTGGTTATATATGAAAGTGTTCTACCTTTAATAAATCTACATGTTTAACACCTTTAATTTAATCTGAGATGCACTAAGATAACAGGAGTAAGTACTTTCCTTAAGAATACCACTTACAGAAATTCATAATTGCGTCACCATGCAATAATTGTATAACCCATTCCTAGTTTGTAAAGCAGGTAATTTAGTCTTAATTTAGATTTAAAGACTAATCGTTAGATTCTTTGTTCCTTTTTAAGTTCCTCCTGGCGTGATCGGAGGTGTGGCTCTGTGTTTCTCTTTAAAATATGCCCAATGTTTTTGAACATATTCCTGTTCAGCTCAGAAGCTTTACTTCTTGTTAAAATCTGTCATTTTGGCAGTATGCTGGAGATTATCGTGCCAAATGTTCACGTGACTTGGAGTCATCTTTTAGGCTTTTTACTTTTTTAGCTTTCCCTTTTTTTAAATCACATTGTTGTTGCCTCGACTTTCCATTTTGGTGTCTGTTTATCAGTTTAGTCACTCTAAAGGATCGTGCTTGTTCATAAAATAGCAGTACTCCTTTGTTTTGGCTCAGAAACATTTTAAAACATTTGACACTGAAGTAAGTTTGCACAGATTTTACTTACAGATTTTGTTGTTTACTGTACATTTGAAAATCAGCCAGCTACTCATCATTTTCCAGCTAATCTAACTTGCTCAATACAGTAAAGTAAAACTGTTTACTGACCTTTGAGGCTTCACTTTGACTGTGCTGTTTTGAGAAAAATGTAAATTTTTCTGCAGTGTATGGCTGCAGTGACAGAGCTGCCATGCTGAGGTTTAGCAGGTATAGTGTTGTTTTGTTGATGACGGGTTTTTTTGTGGTGTTGTTTTTGCCCCTGTATCAGGATTAAATCAGTCTGAGTTTGATGGGAGTATCGTTACTTCTCCAAGTATTTGGTCACAAACACAAAGCGCTGGACTCTTGATTGTTCCTCAGAAGATGTCAGATTCATTAGATGGTTAAGTCATTTCACACCAAAAAATGGAAAGAGAGAAAACCCTCCAGAACTGTTACAGCAAAAGTCCAGAGTTCACCAACATCATCATACATCATTTGTATACACCAGGGTTGTCAAACATAAGGCCCTGGGGCCAGAATCGGCCCAGCAAAGACTCCAATGTGGCCCACTT